AGGGAGGGGCAACAAATGGGGGGGGAGGAGAGGTGCCACCCGTGTGCCCCAAAGGGGCCCTACAGGGGCCCCTTAGAGGCGCCCTGGCACCCAAAAGGGGCACCGAGGGTGCACGTTTCTTCCATCCCCCCCCCTCGCATCCCCCCATTGATTCACGCCGGAGGACCACCTCCCACGGCCACACTCCGGCCCTCTCCTCCGCTCCTCGTCCCTGCCCCACGTCGCCGCAACCCTTTCGCACGCGTCGCGCAGCCCGAAGGAGCAGCACAGCGCAGCAGCACCTGCGGCTGCTGCGAGGGACGTCCCGCGCGCCGCCCCGCGGCTCATTCGTGCACACGCGCCGCACGCTCCGCGCGAGAGGCACAAAAAGACTCCAGAACAAACGGAACATCGATCCTAGATCTCCGATCCTCGATCCTCGGGGCTCGACGACGAGGACGACGACGACGACGACGACGACGACGACGACGACGACGACGACGACGAGGCCGCCATCGAGCCCGACGACGACGTGGCCAGCCCAGGCGGCGGCGGATGCCTGAGCACTATGTCGCCGCCGCTGGCGAGCGCGCCGAGCAGCTCCAGCCACAGGCGGCCCACGCCTCTCGCGCGACATCCGACCCCTCCTCTGCCTTCCTTTCCCCCCTCCTCCTCCTCTTCCTCCTCCCCCCCTCCTGCTCCTCCTCCTCCTCCTCCTCCTCCTCCTCCGCCTGCTCCTCCTCATCATCATCATCATCACCATCACCACCAACCACCACCACCACCATCCATCATCATCATCATCATCATCATCATCATCATCATCAGCATCATCATCATCATCATCAGCAGCATCATCATCATCATCATCATCATCATCATCATCATCATCATCATCATCAGCATCATCATCATCATCATCATCATCAGCATCATCATCATCATCATCATCATCATCATCATCATCATCATCATCATCAGCATCATCATCATCATCATCATCATCATCATCATCATCATCATCATCATCAGCAGCACCATCATCATCATCATCATCATCATCATCATCATCATCATCATCATCACCATCATCATCATCATCATCATCATCGTCGTCATCATCATCATCATCGTCATCATCGTCATCATCATCCTCATCATAATCATCATCATCGTCATCGTCATCATCATCGTCAGCAGCAGCAGCATCATCATCATCATCATCGGCATCATCATCGTCACCACCACCACACCATCATCATCATCAGCACCATCATCAGCATAATCATCAGCAGCAGAATTATCATCATCAGCAGCATCATCGGCATCATCATCAGCAGCATCAGCATCATCATCATCAGCAGCATCATCATCATCAGCATCATCATCACTATCACCATCGCCATCATCATCATCATCATCATCATCATCATCATTATCATCATCATCATCATCATCATCATCAGCATCATCATCATCATCATCATCATCATCATCATCATCATCATCATCATCATCATCATCATCATCATCATACTCCTTATTATCCTCCTCCTCATCCTCCTCCTCCGCCGCCAATCCTCCTCCTCCTCATCCTCCTCCTCCTCCTCCTCCGCCTCCTCATCCTCCTCCTCCTCCTCCTCCTCCTCCTCCTCGTCCCACGCCTCCTTCTCCTCCTCCTCCTCCTCCTCCTCCTCCTCCTCCTCCTCCTCCTCCCACGCCTCCTCCTCCTCCACTTCCTCCTCCTTCACTCCCTCCTCCTCCGCCTCCGCCCAAGAGGCTTCAAGGATCGCCCCAACACGGCCCAAGAGGCCTCCAAGCGCACCCAAAACGGCCCGAGAGGGCCCCAGAGGCCTACAAGTTGGCCGAAGAGGCTCCCAAGACGGTTCCAAGAGCGGGCCCAGACGGGGGGCCCGAACTGACATTTCGAGCTCTAGGCGCAGAGAGGCCCCCTGGAGGCCCCAAGAGGCCCCCAAGAAGCCCCCAAGAGGCCCCCGAGAGGCCCCAAGAGACCCCCAAGAGGCCCCCGTGACGCCCCAGGAGGTCCCAGAAATACCGCCAAGAGGCCCCCGAGAGGCCTCATTTCGTATCACCAACTCTTCAATATTCCTTCCCTCTTCCAAAGACCTCCTCCTCGTCCTCATCCCCCCTTCTTCCTCCTCCTCCTCCTCGTCCTCCTCCTCCTCCTCATCCTTTCCGCTCGCCACGAACACACAAACATGAAGCACCAGTGATGCAAGATGGGCTGGCGGAATGAGAGAAGCGATTGAATAACAAACAGGGGTGTAGAATAACTCTGTCCCTCCTGCCCCACCTCATCCTCCTCATCCTCGTCATCATAATCTTCAGACAACGGAGTCTCAGGAAGGACGCCCGCTTGGATGCGCCAAGTACACGCTCGAACGCATCTTCACACACATGCGCCCACATACGTACAGGTACAACATCGCCGAGGCTCAATCCCGATAGCCGCCACCAAGCAGAACAACAACCACTGTGATTTTCAGAGAAACCAAAACGACGTACTGAACAATGGCTGATTGTGCCAGAATTGCAGCAGTCCGACCAGCATCAAACATAAGCGCTGAATGCAAATGCGGTGACTGCGTCGCGAACTGACGACGGTAAAGAATTCACCACACTCCCGCTCTCGCTGTCTCTCTCTCTCTCTCCCTCTCTATACATATGTATATGTTATATGTATACACACATTTTCCTACCTTAACGCTCTCTCTCTCTCTATGTATTTCTCTCTCTCTCTCTCTCTCTTTCTCCCTCTCTGTCACTCTTTCTCTCTCTAGCTCTCCATGTTTCTCATCCTCTCCCTCTCCTCATCGCCTTCCTCCTTCGCTTCCTCTTGTTGAAAGGCTCGCGGCCCGTCGCCGAGGCATCGGGGACGTCGGGACGGAGAGCATCGGGCTCGGCACCGCGCCGCGTCGGCGACGGAGCGCGATACTCTGACCCCAGATGTACCTGGCTCCAATTGGGCGGCCCGAGTATTCCTCCCCTCCGCTTGCCCCGAACTCGTGGCCCCGCTGCCCCAACGCGCCAGGCCTCCGGGCAGCGCAAGCATGCCCAGCAGCGCCAGCCCCTTGGCGGCAATGAGCGCAGCGAAGTAGAGGCCCTCCAGGGCAACAGGGGGCGAGGCACGACCGGGGGAGGAGCGAGGACGCGAGAGGGGGCCGGGGGGGAGTGGGCAGGAGCCCGACGCGAGGGAGGGGCGATCCTGGCGCACAGGAGGAGCGCAGGGGGATGGGGCCCACGGGAGCGATCAAGACCCTGCGACTTCTCTCTCACTCCCCTGGGTGCTATTTTTCGCTGCTCCTGCTGTAGCCATCTTCTCCTTGCACTTCTTACTGCTTCCCTTCTGCTCCTTCCGTCCCCGAGAGGCGCCAGAAAAGGGGGGAGGAGGAGCAGGAGGAGGAGGAGGAGGAGGAGGAGGAGGAGGAGGAGGAGGAGGAGGAGGAAGCCTCCACCAAGGGTCTGCGGCGCTGGTCCCCCCGAGGCGGGCTGTGCGCACTCGCCACACAGTGGCCGCCCTGCCTGGCGCCGCCGGCCCCCCCCCTGGCGCGGCCCGTCTCCGAGCCGCGGCCCGCGCCCGCCCGAGCACCGACCGAGCGACGACCGACCACCGACCGACGGCCAGAGACCCGACGACGACGACGACGACGACGACGACGACGACGACGACGACGACGACGACCTGCAGAGGGCAGCAGCCCGCTGCCTGGCCTGCGAGAGCAGCACACGCTTTTTTGGCGCCGAGGCCCCGCCGACTGGGCGGTTCCAAGGGTCAGAGAAGAGGGGCGCGCGCGCGTCCAAAGCCGAGCCGTCAAGACGCTCAAAGCGAGCAGCGCCGCGGCCGGCTCATCCAGGCATGGATGACAGGGGGTGAGACGAGGTAAGCAGGTAGCCGACCGGCATGGAATCGACATGCTGGAAGGGAAGGAGGGGGCACAGTGGAGACTAGAGTGATGCCTTGTCCAGACGACTTGCACAAGGGCAGGACAAGGCACAGGGAAGCTAAGAGCCAGCAGTGGCGAGAACAACACACACACACTCAAACCTTCAGGGGGAGGAACGGGAGAGGGCAAGGCGGTGGGGGCGATGCGGCAATGGGAGCGAGTTGCTGGAGCCCGGGAGGCTGGGCGGAATTCCAGCCGCGAGATCAGCAGGCTGGTCTGGATGGCATAGTGTTTCGAGGGCTCGCTGGACACTCATGACGCAAGGCGTCGGTCGCTCTCGCCTCTGCTCAACCGCTCCCAAAAATGTGGCACTCTTTATACCTCACCTTCTGCTTCACCAAAAAATGAGCCGTGTCTGCGCACTGTCGGCGTCCGGAAATATGTCCCCGATGTCCACCGCCGTGGATGGAACGACAGGACACCACTCCGAGACGGAGCAAATATACCAGGAAGGGGGTCGAGAGGTCGCGGAAGCGGGTGCTGAAAAAGCACGACCTTCCACACAGCAGGCTCACGCCGCGGGAACGCAAAGGTCGGTTTCTGACATTTCGTGGGTCCTTCCACTTTGAGCCATCGCCATGTTCCGATATCTGGCATCGTTCCATCGGCCGAGTTCAGGAGCGGCTGGTGAAGCTCAGCCTGGAACGCCTGCGCTGGCGTCTCTTACTTCCTCATTTTCCTTCCTCATCCCCTTCCTTTTGTTCATTCCGCCCTCTCCTCCTCCCCACGTCGGTGACAACTCATGGGAGCCTCCCATACCTCACCTCGTCGGCTCTTGCGAATCGACCTGCTCGACGGCAATCGACGCCTAAGACGGAATTACGAGGGTGTACGAGGCTCCCAAGACTTGCTACCGAACCCCACCTTGGGTCGACCACGGCATCCACCTCCCGAGGCCACGCCACCGCGAGCGCGCCTTGTGCTCGAAGAGCAGGGCCCTGGCCAGGGACTCGGCCCGCAGCATGCTGGCCCTCGCCGCCGGACGGTGCAGCGCATGCGCCAGGCCTTGCGGGCGTGCAGCTGCACGGGGTCCCGACAGCGGAGCCGAGATGGCCTCAGAGAAGGGGCCTCGAAGACTGCTCCCCACGGCAGGGCAACGAACCTGCACACAGTTCTGACCCCAGGTGCGCAGAGTGCCACGGCGCGCCCATGCGACAGGGGATGGGCTGGCACGCCTGGAAGTCCGACTTCTCGTGTCTTGGGACAACTCGCCACCCAAGAGCACGACCCAAGTGTCACGGAGTCGGCGCGGTGACACTTTTACAGCGAGACGAGAGGGCACACATCCTGGGGGGCACGTGCACCGCCTGCCGGAGAACGGGCCTCAAAGAATACGCGGGAGGACGCCAACTCTGCACCTGACACCGATCCTGGGCAGGCCCATCCTGGGCTCAGGGTCGGCGGCTCGGCCAGGAAGGCATAAGCGTACACCGAGCCTGGGCCCTAGATCGGCCTGGCCAGGATCGGCGGTGGTGCATAGCTGGAGTCCCCTGAGTAAGACGAAAGGCTTGCGGTGTTAATCACCCCCGCCCTCTTCCAATCCTCTGTCGTCCCTTTCGGGGCGGGGGATACTACTGTTCCTTATCAGCGAGCACCCCCTCACCCTCTCGAGACTGGGCGCCGACCAGGAACGATGAGAAACCCCCCCGCCATCCCTGTCACAATGAAAACCAAAGCGCACGTGGCGGAGAAGTGTGAATCATGAGCTGTCACCCCACGATCACTTTGCATTGTCGCTTGACAGGAATCGCGGGGTGAAGCCCATTGCCCGCAGCGCGCTCGCCCACTATTCGTATCAGAGCCAGTGCAGACTGACTGCAGGTGCACGCCCAACATGAACCATGCTGGCCAACAGGCCACCGCTTCGAATTAGCTCCAAACAGGTGTGGTGGTGCTGCCGAGATCTGTTGCACTGCGTGTGGTATCGCGTGCACCGGCGCACCTGTCCCAGCCTGGCAGACTCTGCGCGAGTCGCGCACGCGGCGTCCCTGACGCGGCTGCAGCACGCGGCACACTGGGCGCACGTGGCACCCCTCGCGCACCAGGCGCGCCTGCCACGCCTGCGTCTGCGGGTCACCCGGCGCACCTGGCTGGCGTGCCGCACCCGACACGCTTGGCAAACCTCGCGAGCGGCGCGCACCTGGCGCCGCAGTTGGTTTTTCCGGTGGCTGCACATCCGATGGCGGCCTCTGTCTAACTCGGGTGCTATATGCTCGTGTGGCGGGAGGGCAATCGAGAGTGGGCGAGACAAGTTGTGACGCCCCCGATGGAGACTTCACCCTCCACATATACCCTCCGGTGCGTCTAGAAAGCCCGCCCAACGAGGTGTCAGCTCCACTGCTGCTTCAGATAGCTCAAGGCAAGATGCCATCAAAGCTGAAACAAGATAGTCCAAGGTAGCTCGACTGGTTTCTGGCATGCTTCCAAGAGGTCCAAGACTGCCCCATGAAGGCTCGAAGTGGTCTCGAAGCCTGCTGAGGATACCATCGAGAGGCCAAAACCCTTCAAATCCTATGATATCGGAGCTCCCCACATCAGGGAATTGAGTGGGCCGCGGGCACGAGCGGCACTGAAATTGCAGAACCAAATGGGTGGACTCCAACAATGCGATGTACGCCTGTGCCTCGCATTCCCGACTCCTCCGTCTCATTCCTCCTCGCGCCTCGCAGCGCATTTCTCCTCTGTTTGCTCCGCGCTCTTTCACACATCGCCGGAACGACCCATGTCTGCTCATTACACGTAATCCTCCTCCTCCTCCTCCTCCTCCTCCCTCCTCCTCCTCCTCCTCCTCCTTCTGGTTCTCCTCCTCCTCCTCCTCCTCCTCCTCCTCCTCTCCTCCTCCTCCTCCTCCTCCTCCTCCTCCTCCTCTCCTCCTCTCCTCCTCCTCCTCCTCCTCCTCCCTCCTCCCTCCTCCTCCTCCTCCTCCTCCTCCTCCTCCTCCTCCTCCTCCTCCTCCTACGTATCCTGGTCCTCCTGATGCACCTCCTGCTTCGCTGTCACTCGTACACGCAATCCTGCCTTCCTCCCCCTCCTGTCCTTCAGTCCTTCCTCTCGCTTGACTCGGTCTCCCTCGTCCCCCACTACAGAATATGCCACTCTTCGCGCGAAGAAAGAATAGGAAGGCAAGGGGAGGGAAGCAGTAGGAAGGAGGTGGAGGAGGTAGAGGAGAGTTTCGCATTGCGCACTTCTCATCCCGCGCTCCTCGAAGTGCGCCATCTTCTGAACTTGCTGACCCCTCCCCCTCAAACCTCCTCGCACCTGAGAGCTCGCTCTCTATCCTCCTGCCCCTCAATTCCATCTCCAGCAGATCCTTTCGCTCCGCGTCTGGACGCCTGACCAGGGACCAACTAAAGGGGTTTAGTGGAAAGCCGGGGAAGGCAGAGAAAGACCGCCACCCAACAGCATAACCAGCAGCAACAACACGAGCAGCTCAAACGGGAAGCACAGAGAAAAACGTGTAGGAACGCCAAGAAGAAGAGGATGAGCAGAAGGATGGAGAAGGAAGGGCGGCCTAGGATATGAATGGCAAGACAGAGAAGCGTCGAAGATCTAAGAAACTGAACAAGGCCAGAAGAGGGAGCAGAGAGAGGGTGGGAACAGGACTGACGAGGAAGAAAAACGGGTGCACAGGCGCAGTAGGTGGAGGCCGAAGACGAAACAGTGGAGAAGGCCAAGGCAAGAGAAGTGAGGATGCGAAGATGTTCGCACGCAGGGGGCCCGTACGGCCTGGTTGAACCTCGGTGGCCTCGAAAGTGGGATCACGACGGCCAGCGTGGTCGGACATCTGAAGGGTCTCAATGGGTTGGTTCGGGGTTGCCGCAATGGCCTCCGCAAGGCTGCGCTTGCTGCCAGTCCCGTTCCCAAAGCCCCGCCAAACCTCAACGCGCGGGGCCTTCCACCGCGGTTCGCCATCGGTGTCGGCCTCAGTGACAATCTCCGAGCGGCTGCCCTGCCTGGCACAGGCTGGCTCCTCGGGGCGGCGGGAACGCAGGCGAAGGCATCGGCGGCCCCCGAACCCGAGCGCGCAAGGCCGCTGGTCACCAGCTCGTCGCGCAAGCCGTCCCGACGCCACCTCCAGCACCCTCGGCACAGGACGGGCTACCAGCGGCCGCCTGACCCAGCCGCTTGGAGGAGCCACCCGCGCGGGCAGACTCGAACCCCGCGGCAGGAGCGAGCAGAACCTCTGAACCCGTCCCGAGAATGGTCTTCCAGCCCCCGGCGTGGAATGATTTCTGGTTGAGCTCGCTCCCGGCGCATTCGTCGGAAGGCCCGGCGCAGAAATGTAGCCACGGAAGGACCTGCAGAAACGTCGGGTGCAAGCCGAGATCGTTTTCCGCACTGTCGTTATCCACGCACGCGCCCTATAGCCGTAGAGCCTTACAGCCCTAGCCCTATAGCCCTCTAGCCCCCTAGCCCCATAGCCCCATAGCCCAAAGAAAGATTATGTTTGGGGGTTCTCTCCGGCTTTTTTTCACAAGCAAGAAAGTGTTGGCACATCTGGCGCTGCTCTTCGCCATCCAGAATAACGCTGCAAACAACCTGACTCCGACTCGGCACTTTGGCGTCGGCTTTGACCGTCTTGATAAAGCGGGCCACATTCGAATCGTGACGCGGGTACTTGCTGCGGTAGGTTACACCGACAGCTGTAACGTGAATAGCTGCGTGATGAGATTGTCGGTCAGTTTGGCGGTTACTGCATGTCTACACCGCCCGTGTTTCTCTGTTTTGCCGTTCCCATCCCGCACGTGTTCCTGGATAGTGGAATTGCCATTGTACACCCAGGTTCGTGGCAATATCGTCCGAATCGCAGCGACCTGCATATAGAATCCCCTTGCGTCGCTGTCTGGAGCGTCTTACTCGAAGGCAAATGTGCAGAAACCCATTCGCACGACACTGAAATAAGGGTCGTGGCTCAATCCGCGAATCTATGCCGAATTTAAAAAAAATGAGCGCAGAAAAAAAAACATATATTTGCCTTGGCCATGCACATCATGGTCTGGAGTTTCTGCCACAGTGGTCCAGACCACTTGCGATGTGCTCGGACGCATCAATCACATGGCGGGCTGACCACTAGCACCATGTACTCTCCTTTCGGGCGGTTACCCGCGTAGTGCGAGCCATCAGCTGCCATAAGATTGTTATGGCTTCTCTGATCGAACGCGACATTGTAGCGGCGGAGTGCGGCACAAGCCATTCGATCTTCTATGACAAGGGCTTCGAACTGATGTACAGCAGGTCATCGACCCATCTTAGAACAAGCCGGCCCATCTGAGAACAAGCTGCCGCAGGGCTAACCGCAGCCTGTCCCCTTCAAGAGGATGATGCACCCGGCGTTGGTGTCAAGTTTCCTTGGTCCCACGGCTCACTGGTGCTGCTAAGATGCAGCTGCGCCGCATCCGCCGTGCGGTGAAGGGTGGTGGTGCGATTCACCTCTGCTTCGTCGTTGTTGCCGCTGGCGAGAACATGATCAAAAGTGATCACGCGGTGGCCAATGGCGGACCCCAGCATTGGCAGTACCTTCGATTGTCTCGCCCACTGCATTGAACACCCCTCCTCTCCTGGACAAAAACTGCTCCCTTGCCTTGGACAAGAATCGCGTCTTTTTCCTACATTAACGGCATGCCCAGTAAGGCGGGTAAGGCGGAGACCATGGCTACGTTGGCAGTAAACATTTCCCGTTGGCACCTATCCTAATTCTGCACGGCGATAAGGGTGCGAAATCGACCCATGGCACTGACCCTTATCAAACTCTGCTGCCCTGCCGTTCAAACGGTTGGTTCTTCCCGACAAAGTCGCGTCAATCCATACTTCGGTCTCCGCGTTGAACTCATTCTCGAGGGCGCGGTCGCCGATCAGTTTCATGCATGAGCCGGGATCTACCCACATCGCGAGCCTCCCATTCGGAAGCACAATAATCCACGCACTCCTGGCGTGAACAGATTATTGATTCGTCCAACCTAGATATCTGCTTGTTGTGTTAAGCGGTTCGAGTCGGGAACTTGCGGGGTAATCACGGCGGCGATATGCTTCTTAGTGTACATGACCCCCTGGCACAC